ATGCTACTTCTAGAAGATTCTTTAGAGATTAAGTAATCCAATTTGCTCATCTTGTTAGTATATAAATGGAGACCTGTAAGGTCTGTCTTCCTAGAAGTCACAAACCTAATTAAGGGAGATGTCAGTATTAGAACCAAGAGTCAACCAATTTGGTGATGTTGTTGTGCCTTTTAATAACCTCTTCCTTGCTCTCCTAACCCTTTTTGATTTAACTCTGTTCTTCCTGCATATGACCCCATTTCATTTTCTCCATACCACTTACTGTGCTTGGAATTCTCCACCTGTATCATATTAGGTAAACACCTACCAACGCAAAGAGCATGATACTTAGGGATATTTAAATTAGAAACAGACTCTATGTATCCACTATTCCCAGCCTTTCAAAGGATCATGGCAGTCAGTAGAGGTGGCATGAGCCCAGTCTTGCAGGAAGATGAAATTTATAAGACCTATGTCTAAAAGTAACAAGAGTCACCCAGTGAAGCTAACTATCTTGCATTTAGAAGCATGTGTTCCGTGATTTCAAGAACATGGGATGGGGAGCATCTTGGCACAACTGCTAAACTTAACTCTTGACTATCTTTTCTACATTTGCCAATGACTTAGGTCATGACAAAGTCCAGGATGTTGCTGACTTTTCCTATTATGAAGGCTGCTAATCAACTCTGTTATCAATGAGAGCTGTGGTACTGTGTGGGAGAGAGCTTCCCATAGGCTGACTCAGGCTTTTTCCCTTACAATGTCAACTTAGTGGCGTGCTTTCCTCATAGGATGTACTACATGAATTTTATGGGCTGGAATCTTTAATAGATTGAATTTTCTCAAATCTTAAGAAAAAACTGGAGAGAACTGTGGATCATAATAAATTGATTAATCTAAGTACACAAAAATATATAATTCAGTTTACTGAAAAGGAGTAGACATCTCTGCATCAGGTTTTACCTGAGATGACCTCAGCATTGCTGTCGTTGGGTTTGGAAAAGGGTGGCTTTGAAGTTACTTGGCCACTATCATTTTACGTGACTTTTTAACTGTTTTTTTTTCCCAATGGCTTTTAAATTAATATGTATGTGAAAACATTGTGTTGGACCCATACTGAGAATATAAACGTTACACAGAGTCAGCTATCTTAAAATAATGCATTTTAAAAACCAAAGTATTTATAATACTACTGTATTCTAGGTTGAGAATAATCTAATTTAAACATGATTTCTCTTTGGGAAACAAAATTATGATTAAAAACAGCATGGCTTCATACATCATACCACGTATGATAAGCTTCAAATGCAAGTTGTTTGAAAATCACAAGACAAATGTCAATTGGGGAAAATTTTCAACTTATGTCACATAGAGCTAAGTTCTCTAATACATTAAAAGGCTTCTAGAAATTGATAAGAAAAAGAAAAACCCAATAGAAAAATGGGCAGTTGATATAAACAGATGGTTCACAGAAAAGAAAATAAAGCATCTCTAAAAGTATGAAAATATGCTGTACCATATTCAAAATGAGAGAAGTAAAAATTCAGTAGAGTATCTGATAGCACACTCTCTCAGAGACTAGGGAAATAGGTTCTTCCTTACACTACTTTCAGGATGGATGGCAGTTTGGCAATATCTATCAAAACTACAAATGGAGGTGTACTTTGACTCAGCCATTCTACTTCTGGGAAGTTATCCTTCAAACATACTTGCACACGTGAGAAATATTTTATAGGATGTATTCACATATATTTCTAGGAATATTCATAGGATAATTGTTTACAGGAATGAAAAAGTGGAAGAAAAATGTTTAAAAATATACGCTTTATCCATAGAAAAGATACAATACAAATCTGCTTAAATAAGCCAGAATACCAAATAAACCTAAAAAACGAGGAAACACTTTATGTACTAAAATAGAAAGATCTCTAAGATACATTGTTCACAAAAACAACAAGGTACAGAATATTGAACAGAATATGTTATGTTTAATGTAAAAAAGTGGGAGAAGGGAATAAAAATAAATATACACATTTGCTTGTATATTAAGGAAATGCAGAAGAACAAAAAGGAATTAATAACACTGGGTGTCTGCTGAGGGAGTTGGAAATTGGGTGGGTTGAGCAAGGGTGGGAAGGAAATTTTCACCTTTCTCCTTTTTACATTTTTAAAATTGAACTTTGTGCATGTTTTATTTATTGAAAGATCAAATAAAACCTTAAATTGTTATTGGCTAAAACTATTTGACATTGCTAATAGTTAGAGATTTTGTTCTATACATAGAGCATAACAGAAGGAGTACCCATATGTCCACACCCCAGCCCAGGATACAGGCCATCACCGATAGCGTTAAATCTTCCTTTATGTCTCTAAAGGATGCTCACTGATTCCACTTAAAGGTAACTATCCCAAATTATTTTGATGATTAATTTTGTTTTCTGTATAACTTTACCACTTACGAATATATCTATTGAAAAAATACAGCATTGTGAAGAGCAAGATTGGATCTTCTCTTTGAATGGTGAACTCAGTTAAAATTCCCTGAGACTGGTATTTTTCCTTACGTAAATATTTATACTCTTAATAGCATATCCTCAATGAGTTTAGGACTATTGCAATTTTCAGTTTCTGATTGAGTTAGTTTAGGCTATTGTGCAGGCACTCCTCGTTTTATTGTGCTTCGCAGATATTGCAGGGTTTTGGTTTTTCTTTCTTTCTTTCTTTTCTTTCTTTCCTTTTTTTTTTTTTTTTTTTTTTTTTAGAAATTAAAGGTTTATGTTAACCCTGCTTTGAGCCACCCTATTGGCTCCATTTTTCCAACAGCATTTTCTCACTTCATGTCTCTGTGTCACATTTTGGTAATTCTTGCTATATTTTCATTACTATTATATTTGTTATGGTGATCTGTGATCAGTGATCTTTGATGCTGCTACTATGACTCACTGAAGGCTCAGATAATAGCATCTTTTTAAGCAGTGAAGTATTTTTAAATGAAGGTATGTGCATTTTTTTCTTTAGACATAATGCTATTGCACACTTCATAGATTATGGTATAGCATAAACATAACTTTTCTATGCACTGAGGAAAGCTAAAAATTTGTGTGACTCTCTATATTGCAGTACTCTATTGCGATGGTCTGAAACCCAACCCACAATATCTTCAAGGCATGCCTGTATTTCTTTTTCTAGGAATTTGATCATTTTCAATAAACTTTCAAACTGATTTACATACATTTTATAGTAATCTCTGTTTTTAAAAATACATTTGCTGCATTTGTATTCACTTTCCCTTTCTGCTCCTCATATTATTAATGTCTTTTTTATTAGAATTGCCATAGGCATTCTTTATATAGCTTAGTCAAAACAGTATTGTGCTTTGGCTTCCTCTTGCACTAACTCTACTACGTTATTTTTTATCTGTCTCTGTCTTTGTGTTAAATTTTGTGGCTCTTATTTTTAAAAAATATGAATTCTTAATTTGGGCTCTAAACTATTAATTTTAAATCTTTTTTATTTTCTAATAGTAAATTTTTTGTGTGCATTTTCACTTTAGAAAATACTTTTTTTCCTCTTCTTATCAAAATACTTTACATTTTTGTCTCTCACATTTAATCCTTGATCTGTGTGGAATTGATGTTTGTATGTAGTGAATGGTGGAGATCAAATACCCTCTCCCCATCAAGCATCCAACCTTAGTCTTGACTGCATTTACTGTTGTGTGTTTCACATGCTCCAGCCTTGTACAGGGTCCCTGCTTTATCTCCTGTACTTTCAGTAGCTTTTCAAATCGAAACTTTAGATGAAACAGGAACAGCGAAAAAAAAAGCCCAGGTCAACAGCCATTATCAGTCTTTGAAATCCTTCTTGGGATTCCCACACCCGTCTTGTGTTTATTACCTAAAGATTTCCCTTAAATTCTTGCCAGTTTGGCATTATTTACATAGTTTTTTTAAAATATAGCATTTCTTTTTGTTTTGTAGAGGAAGGAATTGTCACAGTATCTACCTGTCAATAGTGCAAGAAGTCTTTCAAATTGACTGCCATTTTAAGAACTTTTAACTCCAACAGAATAAAAGCATTGGAATAATAAGCCTAATTTAGTTTTTAAGAAATATATATTCTAGGAACTTTGCTATTCCCATTGTGATTTGTTTTTTTTTTCTGCCAGCACTTTTGACATGTGCCTCAACACAATGTGTTCCAATATTGTACATTAAAAGAAAGTATTATCACTGTAGGAAGCTGAATACCCACTGATTTAAGAATAAATGCTCTACACACTGTAGATGCGCATTAAGTCAGGCATTCTATATTGATTGGAGTTGACAGGAAGTTTTCTTGGAATCACAATCTTAGTCATTTATTTTTCTCTTGCATATAATTTGTGTATCGGTCTAGGCAAAATCAGATTTCACCTGCTGCCTATGTACTTTTCCGTAAATTTAGACAGGGTTTTCTGAGGTCATGGATATACAGAAAGTAGTCAACAAGGGGTCTGCCATTTCCCATGAATTTCTTCTGTTTAAATAATCACCTGGCAAAGATGAAATTCTTCCAGGATTTAAGGAGGCAATTTTATGGTAAGCAAAATACTCAAATGGGATTCTTTCTGTCTCGAACTTGTCGAGTGTTCAGAACCACCAGGTTGTTTCTAAAATCGCTTCTTAACAAAATCATTTTATAACTTTTGGAGCAAGTATTCCAGAATCAGAGGTGATTTCTTATGCCTTGTCATTTGTGAAACAACAAGAAATCTATCACAAGTTACTATCACTTTTAGATTCCTAAATACCCTCTACAATTACCCGGTAAAAAGATTCAAAGTGAGTATTAATACTATAGATAGATTAAAACAACTCATACATATTAAAAAATCTGGGAAAAACACAAATAGCCATGTGAGCCATGACACCCTAGAATAATGGTTAATCTTGTGGCCCCTCAGGTCAGATGCTTTAGTTTTAAGTCTTTTATGTAAGTTTGCTAGTGCTTCCTTATCAAAATACAACAGTCTGGGTAACAACAGATATGTATTTTCTTATCACCATGGAGGCTGCAGGTTCAAGATCGAGGTGTCTGCATGTTTGGTTTCTTCTGAGGCTTCTCTTCTTCACTTGGCGATGGCTGCCTTCTCACTGTGCCCTTACATAGCCATTCCTCTGTGCACCTGCACCCCTGGTGTTTCTCCATGTCCAAATTTCCCTTTCTTTTAAGGGTATGAGTCAGTCTGGATTTGAACTCACCCTAATAGCCTTATTTTAATTTAATTGCTTTAAAGACCCTATCTCCAAATGCAGTCATGTTTTAGGTACTGGGGGTTAGGGCTTCCAAATATGAATTGGCAGGATGTGGAGCAGGGGAGGATACAATTCAGACTGTAACATTCTTGTTTGTCATTCACCAGCTGTGAGACATCAAGCTAGTTTTTTTGTTTTTTTAAATCTTCTTTGTACTTATTATGATGTTGTGACTATTAAAGAATAAGAAACATGCAAATAACTTAGGATAATGTCCGTATATAGCAAATGCTAACTATTAGTGTTAATTATGATAGAACAGAAACTTTAGACTTCTACATTCAGTAAAAAATTATAAATACAAAATGCTCTGAAGATACCAAGTAAGTATCGTGGGTTAGTGTTCATGTACTCTATTTCCTTGTTGATCGCCTGTCTAGTTGTTCTATCCATTATTGAAAATAGAGTTTTGAAGACCCCTAACATTATTGTTGAATTGTCTATTTCTTTCTTTAATTCTGTCAGTTTTTTGGGGGGGCTTTACTATTATGTACATGAAGGTTTATAATTGGTATGGCTTCAATGGATTGACCCCCAAATCATTATAAACTGACCTTAGTGTTAAGGAGAACATCCATAACAGGAAGTCATAAACTCTTTTTACCTCTTTTGCTCCAAATTCCTTCACCTTTCATGTTTATATGTGTAGTAGCCTTTTCCTGGCCTTGGAGCCCCATTTGAAGAGAGAGGAAACTACTGCAGTGCTTTTGTCCGGTGTCTCCTGCCACATCCATCCATACGTGCTCTTACCTCTAGGAACTCAGGCCCATCAATGGCGAATGCATCTGATCAAGGCAAGCGGGGAGCTGGAAAATAGTGAATGTCATGAAACTGAACTGGAAGCCAGAGGAGACCAAGGCTTCTCAGTTTGAGTTGAGTGTTATTAAGCAACCCTGAAAATCATGACAAAGAAAAGTCTCAAAATACTGATGAAAATTGAAATAATATTGGTCATTATGTTCACTATCAATATTGTCAGCGGTACAGACAGTGAAATGATTATTGATCAATTGATTAGTAAAATCACCCAAGACAATCCATTATATTACTTTACCTTATTTATACCTTAATACATAGATTATTAATTAATTAAGAACTCACTAAATGTTCTTAATAAACATGGAGAAGAGAGAACATATTATGTGCCAAGTACTTTTTTTAATGAAAAGAAGCTGTTTTTAACTCATACTTCACTTTGATGAAAGTAAGGATTTTGTGAAGATGAGTCAGAGTAATAAGTGAAAGAAGCATGATTTGAAAACATGGCTATCTAATGCTCAAGTTATTTCTACTTCAACATTCTGCTAAAGACATCTTGACATTACCCCAAATTCACTTAGCCATGGAATTCTGCTTTTTAGAATTCTAATTAATAGAAATTTTGTAACTTAACATGTATTATAATATGAAGTGTATCAGGCATGTCATATGTAACATGTATTGTGTAATCTAAACAATTAGATTGTTTAAGTGTTATTGAAACTGGTTTTGTCATTTTATAGTAATAAAAAACTCCTTTCTATTGTGTTTATTTGGTGCAATGACACCATTCATCGACACATTTGCAAAATGTGTCAATAAAAAGATCAGAGACACACAGAAAGTCTCATGAAACAGAATTATCCACGTATGTTGACATAATTTTAGTGCAAGGTAGTAACATATGATGTTAAAGTTCTGGTGGGCAAATGTCACTATTTCTATGTCAAAGGCAAAGCTAAGTGAAAAATAGGAGTTGAAAATAAAGATGGACATTCTCATAAAGGAGATTCATGTATGTTATTTCAACATGTGTATATTATCTCAAGCTACTTGGAAATGATCTTCAAGAAATGGCTTCTAATATTCTTAATAACAGAGGAAATGTGGCATGTGTTACATATGTTAGAGCTTTTTAAAGATTTGTTTTTAAGCGGAAGTATTTTATAAAAGAAGAAAAACGTGAGGAATCTAACCTCTGATGACTTACTATTCATGAATAAGCGAGTTACCTAAGATATAATGATCTCCATGGAGTAAAGAGTGGGGACACTGGGAGGGTCTCTTAATCTCTTCTTTCACAGGTCAGGTTTGTTGAGTGAAAAGAAAGTCAGGTGAGACGCACTTAAGTGCTTACTCTTATCCTTATCTCCTCTAATTGTAGAGAACCACTTACTTGACTCTCTATGTCTGGTCCTATTGTATTACTCATTCCTTGAGATGATGTTAAAAAAAAAAGATGTTGAACAGATTTCTGGGAAAACTAATACTTGAAATAAAACTTAACTTGGTTGATTCTACTAACCATATGGCATCTACCAGTTTCTCAAGAGAAAACGAGAACAGAGGTTTTGAAAAGAAAAAGAGGAGCAAAAATAGAGACATGAGACATATAAAATACATTTTGGCTGATTTTTATATTTTTTTTCCTGGATGGTCTCTCTGGAATAAGAAGTGAGAAATTACATAGACTAAATCATCTGGTTCTGTCTGTAGCTAAATAAGTGATATTAGGAGAGGATCAGCTGGAAAATGGCCTAGAAAGATGTTGTGTAGGGGGCACAAAAGCATCACTGACATAAACTGGAAAAATTTAAATTGTCCCTGCTCCCACTTCCAAGTAGTGGAGATGGGGAACATTTTTTGTTAACACAATATCTCAGTTGAGTATTTTTTTTTTTTTTGCGATTTACATGACAGCAGAAATTTGGCAGCCAGTCACTGTAAGTTGAAATTCTGAAAATAAATAATTCATAATGAAGTGCTGTTTATGGGAAATTAATCTGAATTTTAAACCCTTTGTTATGCCTCCCAAGTGATTTCTGAATAGAAAAAATGCATTAAAATGCTGAAAAGAAAATAGAAACTGAAGAGCAGAAAGCTATTTATTAATTTTTTTAGATTGTAAATCCTGCTTGATCCAATTAAAATGAATCAGTAAGTGAATCTATTTGATATAGCATACTTACAAATAGAAAAGCAGGTCATCCACTTATAGCAATACTTATAAGCAACAAAATAACTAGAATGATTGTAATATTTTTTAACCTTTTAGAATGCATAGCTGAGCAAGCAAAAAAATAACTGAAACACTCAAGAAAGTAATGTATCGAAGACCTTGAACTATACTGGGTGGTGGGTTTGTGGAATGGAGGGGTGGGAAGTATGTGGAGAACATTGCTATTCTATTTTTCTCGGTTTATCAAAGTTTCATGAGGATTGGGTCCAGGGAAGGGGTGATGAATTGGAAATAAGATCCTGCCTTAAGCTAGCCCTCCACCTCAAGGGTTATATTCTCATTAAAAAAATGGAATAGCTACTCCATCAGGAAACTCACCCTTATAAGGAAATTTGTAAGTAGTAGTCTGGACCATGGTGGGAAAAAAATGAGTATCTCCCCTGAGAATTCATAACTATGTGGATTTGGGCTTCCAATTTATTCTAAATGAGTGATCCAGAAAACCATAATCCGAAATAACACTTAAATAGTCTTAGATAGGGGTATCCCTAGAGTGCCTGGCCAGAGCAAAATTACAACCACTCACAAGACAAACCCATATTTCCTAGGTCTTCAAAGGAATCTTGAAGATAAATTGATAATACAAAATTTAAAATTCATAAAGAACAAATTTACCATGAGCAAAAATCACCAGATATAACAAACAGCAAAAAGGATATCAGTTCCCTTATAATTCCAGATATTGGAACTACCAGGTAAAGATGATAAAATTAGCAAGCATGCCTACCAATTTATTTATTCAGTATTCTTAGTAGAGTAATACACTTTTTTTTTTTCTGGTATTCAGTAGGTTAAGAATTCAAATGTGAAAATGAAACTTAAAACTTTAGAAGACAATAGGTGTGAATATCTTGATGCCAGGATAGGGAAGGAGATTTAAATCTCCTCTCCCAAAAACTGTGAAGGAAAAGAGAGATATATTTGATTATATTAAAATTTCTCTGTACAGCAAAAGGTAAACTTAACTATAAACTGTAAACAGATTTATTTATGATGAGCTAGAGACTAGAAAATTCAGTTTGCAATGAATATATCCAACAAAGGATTTGAGACTAGATAACTTGTTAAAATCGATAAGGTAGATAATGCCATAGGAAAATGAGAGAAGGATTTAAGAGAAAAAGAAACCTGAACTGCCAATAAACACATACAAGATGCTCACCAGAGCGCCGGAAATATGAGTTAATATGATGCTAACATCACATAACCAAAGACTGAAAAAACTGAGAATATTTTTAATTAAAAAAACCATTTTTTTTGGATGGGGAAAGTAATTAGGTTTACTTACTTATGTACACATGTATGTATGTATATATAAATGTATGTACTTAATGGAAGTACTGGGGATAGAGCCTAGGACCTCATGAATGCTAAACACACACTCTACCACTGAGCTATACTCACCCCCTGAAAATATTTTATAATACCAAATTTTGGTGACGTTATTGGGGGAAATACAATAAGTGCCACCATTTTGGAGGGTGATTTGGCAATATTTTGTAAAGCTGGAGATATGAGAACCCTTCACTTTTAGAGGCATATTCTTTTTTTTTTAATTGAAGTACAGTCATTTATAATGTCTCAGTTTCTGGTGTACAGCATAATGTTTCGGGCAGACATATACATACATATACTCGTTTTCTAGGGGCATACTCTTGAAGGAGTTCAGGACACGCTACTCCAAAACATGGCACCTCAGCGTACTGACTATTGAAAGAGTTTGAGAAAACAGCAGAAAAAGGAAGGTCACTATGATCTTCCCCCTACTCTGGAACAGGTCAAAAAGCTCTCATGTGAGAGGTGCCCTCCCTATACTCAAGGAAAAGGAGCATCCTTATCTCTGAAAACAAAGGCACACCCAGAAGACTCTTAACACAGTCCTTGCTAAGTTTTCCCGTTTGCTACACTTACCTCATACTCCTTGACGTATCAGGTTT